AAAGTTTGGTTGATTTTAAAAAAGTATCTTGTTGATGAAATAAAAGGTTTATCTTAATTTTTATCTATTTTGGGGGGTTTTGTTTTAGGTTTTTGCATATTTTTTGTAAAATCAACCAAAATTTCCTTTGTATAACAAGACAACAGCAACGCCAAAGCGTAGCAAATCCCATCAAACAGCCATGGCTGGCACTGTAGCAAGATGGCTTTTCAAGATGGCTGCCATGTGCTTCTTTCATATCTACATTTCTAGCTTTATTAATGTCCTATATATTTTTTTACATTTAAAACATATTGCTATAACAGCTTTACATATTGCACCTAAACTACTGTAAAATCGTCACTAAAATGGCTGCCATTTTTAAATGAGTGACCATTGTGAAAATCAGCTTTTGAGCAGAACTTCTATCCCCATAGGGTATATGTGTACAAAATATGAACAAAATCGGGCCAACAGTATTTGAGTTATTACAGAAGGACGGAGGCGTTCCCTGTGATATTGAGAGGTCTAAGAAAATGTTGTATATGCTATTTTGTTCCAACAAGGTTCGGAAAGATATTTCATTTCATTCTCAAGAATTGTTAGAAAGGAACAAAAAACAATTGCACTAAAAAACAAACAATGTTAACAAAAACAGTTATAAAAAATATATATAAATAATTTTTGCATTAAATTATTGCCAATCAGTCAACATTACATAAAGGACCATGTTTTTTACAAAATGTTTTCAATAATTGGTTTAAGAGAAAACATTGTTGAATTCAGTTCACCATATCGATACCTATATCCTTTAGTTGGAAGTAGGTATTAAATTTACAATACAGCACAGGTGCGATAAAAATGCTTTGTATATTCAAATTTATGCAATTTCACATGTACACTTCAAATATGATATCCTTCTAACTAATATTTGAATAATTAGTGTAGTAAATCAAGATTATCTCTACTTGCATCCAGTAAATAAAATATATATTAGATATCAAGCTGAAAAATACTATACTAGTTATCTATGACTAAATGTACAGTGGACATCCCCTTTTATTATATACCCAATATGTAACACTAATCCTGATTGGTCAATACCTAGTCACGTGTCCCTAAATAGATTTACTATTTCCCTTCAAAAGTTATATTCCCTCAAATGAAAGAAGCGGGAATATACATTTGAACTATTGCCCGCTGATGTCACGATTGCAACTGCTATTGCCCTTAAAACTTCTGCGCATCATCACTGCGCAGACGTACAACACAAATCAACTCCGTTCACCATGACAGACGTGCGTGAACGATACAATATAAGCAACGTGGATAAAGTTCCCTAAGCTCAATACGTCTGTGTAATTTCAAGTGTTATGAAAATCTATTTTGCGTGTTAAACGCGATTGAATTTGTCAAGTGAGAGTCTCAGAAATTTCTTAGGAAAAAATTCTGTTGAGCATACAATGACGTCACAGCTTATAATGCTAACAATGGACCTAGGGAGGGGGCTTTCTAAGCCTTTTTGGCCTTCGCGGAGGAAACGGGACAATAGTCAGTATAGGGTATATAATAAAACAAATAGTGACTGGCTAATTTCGAGCAATAGTGTAAATGATTTCTTCTTGGGAATATCCTCTTTCACTCAGCCTGCAGCTTCGGGAATAGCCTACATTTTAGAGGATATTCCCTCGGGGAAATAATTTACACTATTGCCCTCAATGGCAGTCACTATTTGTATACTATTATTTGATTCTAATGAATTTGGTCATCTTTCTCACCTCTTTTTACAGGACGTTAGAGGGAAACATTAACCTCTTGAATACCCAGAGTGACGGATATATCCGTCACAAATGAAACCAGAACAACGGCAACGCCAAAGCGTAGCGAATCTCATCGAACAGAAATGGCTGGCATTTTTACAAACGAAGCGCAAATATCATAAAACAACACACCAGAAAGGCCACCATTTTCAAAATGGTTGCTCACTAGCCAAGTTGTCATCAAAAGAAATAATATGCTTTTAAGTAGCCACCTCTAAAATTTTTGAAAAATCGCACACGTACTTGTGAAATAACACACATAAAAATGGTGGCCATTTTCCAAAATGGCCCACTATTCCCTAAAGTTTTATTAGACAATGTGCCATGCTTAAAGTATTCACATATCAAATATGAACAAAATCGCTTCTTACTTTTCGAGTTATAGTAAAGTACGTTAAAATGGCGGCCATTTTTCAAAATTGTTTTCAAAATGGCTGCCTTCTACCAAAAGTGTCATAGGACAGTGTTCCATGCTTATAGTATTCACATACCAAATATGAACAAAATCACTCCACTACTTTTCAAGTTATAGTAAAATATGTTTAAATGGCGGCCATTTTTCAAATTTTTTTTCAAAATGGCCGCGTTCTACCAAAAGTGTCATAGGACAGTGTGCAATGCTTATAGTATTCACACACCAAATATGAACAAAATCACTCCACTACTTTTTGAGTTACAGCAAAAATCGGAAAATGACGAGTAAAGGCCACCATTTTTCAAGATGGCTGCCATGTGCTTCTTTAATATCTACATTTGTAGCATTATTAATGTCCTTTATAATTTTTTTACATTTAAAACATATTGCTATTACAGTTTTACATATTGCACCTAAATTACTGTAAAATCGTCACTAAAATGGCCGCCATTTTGAAATGAGCGGCCATTTTGAAAATCGGCTTTCGAGCAGAACTTCTACCCCCATAGGATATGTGTACAAAATATGAACAAAATCGGGCCAACGGTATTCGAGTTATTGCCCGGACGGACGGACGGAGGCGTTCCCTATATCCCTCCGAACTTCGTTCGATGGAATAATAAGACTGGTGCCCAGAGGGACGAGAAAATCCGTCACAAAATTTTTCACAAAAATTGCTCTCATTTGAACAATTTTCATCCAATTTACACAAAAATTGTTTTCAAATGTGTAGAAATGATCTCTGCCGTCCAATTTTACTAAGCTGAGCATCTAAAGTTGTATAGGTATGTAATAAAATGTCAAAAGGTGGCAAAAAATGAAAAATTCTCTGGTTTCAAGAGGTTAAAAAGCCTTATTAAAGATTGCTTTTAACACTTTGCAGTACATTCTCTTTTGCCATTTTTGTCACCCCTTTTTAATAAGATTTAGAAAAACAAAATGAAATACATTTAGTGCATCACTTTTATGTATTTTGACAAATTCACAGTATACAATCAACATACTTTAATAATAAGAATAAATATTTCAATATTAACACAGGCTCATAAATACTGAATTGGGAGAAAACAATACACACATACATGTATTCAGTATATAAAATATTTGTATAATATGTGCAGTACATTCATAATATATACATTATCTTTGACTTATAATTTGCAATAAATATTTCAAACTTAACAAGAAGTAATTTTACAGGGAAACCCCACACATGTTCACTCTTTTCATTAATTAACAAGTACATGTATATTAACTGTTTATATACATACTGTATATGCACATAACTGTCTCAAATAAGGTGTAAATTAGTAAAATGTAAATAATTCAAACTACAAGTAAACGGTTTAAAACCTTTTTGGTGCACAACAGTTCTATTTGGTATGGAAATTTTAAAGAAGTGATACAAACTGCAATCAGTTCAAATCCATCAATGTTTTGGTTTGGGCTTCATTGCCCAATTTGGAGTATAATTCAGTCAACATTCAAGTCTATCAAAAGATGGCCTTATTTTCAGTGTTATTTTAGTAACAAAATCTTTTAAACAGAAATGATTTAATAACTTGATTTTATTGAATTATTTTGAATTTCATGGACAACGAAAATGTATATTTTTTAAAGTAAAGATATTATCCATGTCATTGGTAGATCTACGAATTCTGGGGTATCCCCCTCATCTCATCCATGATGACAACAGAAAGTGATTACATTCCAGTATGAGCCATGAATCACATTTCATATTATATACAAATATATCATTCTAAACAATTGTACGAATATTTTATGAAATAGTAAAAAATAGTTAGAACTGGTAACTTAAGCTCCTTACGAGTGAAAATTGGAGTATGATTACATACTAATGACATTTTTTCAATGTTACTAAAAACTAGAATTTGATTCCATTCTGGTAAATAATACTCCATACTAGTGAAAAAAAATTGTAATTTGATTACATACTAATGATGTTTCTTCCATTATACTAAAAACTAGAGTTTGAATCCATTCTGGTAACTAAATACTCCATACTAGTGAAAATTGGAATTTGAATTTCATTCTGATAACTAATACTCCATACTAGTGAAAATTGGAATTTGATTACATACTAATGATGTTTCTTCAGTATTACAAAATACTAGAGTTTGATTCCATTCTGGTAGCTAAATACTCCATACTAGTGAAAATTGGAATTTGATTACATACTAATGATGTTTCTTCGATATTAGAAAAAACTAATACTCCATACAAGTTAAAATTGGAATTTGATTACATACTAATGATGTTACTTCAGTATTACAAAAAAACTAGAGTTTGATTCCATTCTGGTAACTATATACTCCATACAAGTGAAAATTGGAATTTGATTACATACTAATGACATTTGTTCCATATTACTAAAAACTAGAGTTTGATTCCATTCTGGTAACTAATACTCCATACTAGTGAAAATTGAAATTTGATCACATACTCTTGACATTTGTTCTATATTACTCAAAAAATCTAGAGTTTGATTCAATTCTGGTAGCTTATGCTCCATACTAGTGAAAATTGGCATTTTATTCCATACTAGTGTAATTTGTTCTATATTTGTAAAAATAAATGTTTTATTCCACACTGGTGATATTTGTTCCATACTGGTGAAGAATTGGAGATTTATTCCATACTAGTTACACTTCTTTTATTTAAGTGAAAAAATTCATTCCATACTAGTGACATTTGTTCAATATTGGTGAAGATGTGAAGCTGAATTCATACTATTGAGAATTATGTAAAGTCCCGTAACAGAACATCTAATACTCCTGTATGGAGAGTTCTCTCATCCTAACCGAGCCTCCTTGCTGGGTTTCTCTATATTTAGCCAAGTCTTTTCTTGTAATCATCCCAGCCACCTGAAAAACAAACATTTATCATAAAAGCATACTTTAAATACATGTGTGTTTCATTTAATCATACATAAGAAATTGACTTTGCTTGACCGACTTTCTGATCAATACACTATAAACTCACTATAAAAATTATTGTAAATCTACATGCCAAGATCATCATCCCTAATCATCATTTAAATATGGAGAGTGATAGATAATACCTCTCGGGGATTTCATACCTCATGCTTTTCATTGACCACTAATAGATGGCGCAGTCCTAGACCACGGAATAACCTGAAGATGCGTGGTAGAGATGCATGCTGGAAAAGAAGGATGTGCTTTGATTAAACTGTCATTTTAGATAGAGGGCCTATATGAATATTGAGGGCCAATGAATTTCTATTTACCTTTGAGGTATTTAAATGGTGGTCATATACCTGATATTGTACATGTATTTGTATACATATGTACATGTTAATTTTGTGACTTGATATGGTGTCAGATCTATTGGTAATGTACATGTATTTGTATAATAAATGTATACCTGTGTCACCTGGTATGGAGCAGGGTTCATATATGGTGTCAGATCTATTGGTAATGTACATGTATTTGTATGGTAAATGCATTTACCTGTGTAACCTGGTAAGGATCAGGGTTCATATATGGTGTCAGATCTCTTAGTAATGTACATGTATTTGTATAGTAAATGCATTTACCTGTGTAACCTGGTAAGGATCAGGGTTCATATATGGTGTCAGATCTCTTAGTAATGTACATGTATTTGTATAGTAAATGTATTTACCTGTGTCACCTGGTATGGAGCAGGGTTCATATATGGTGTCAGATCTATTGGTAATGTACATGTATTTGTATGGTAAATGTATTTACCTGTGTAACCTGGTATGGAGCAGGGTACATATATGGTGTAAGATCTATTGGTAATGTACATGTATTTGTATAGTAAATATATATACCTGTGTCACCTGGTATGGAGCAGGGTTCATATATGGTGTCAGATCTATTGATAATGTACATGTATTTGTATGGTAAATGTATTTACCTGTGTCACCTGGTATGGAGCAGGGTTCATATATGGTGTCAGATCTATTGATAATGTACATGTATTTGTATGGTAAATGTATTTACCTGTGTCACCTGGTATAGAGCAGGGTTCATATATGGTGTCAGATCTATTGATAATGTACATGTATTTGTATGGTAAATGTATTTACCTGTGTCACCTGGTATAGAGCAGGGTTCATATATGGTGTCAGATCTATTGATAATGTACATGTATTTGTATGGTAAATGTATTTACCTGTGTCACCTGGTATGGAGCAGGGTTCATATATGGTGTCAGATCTATTGGTAATGTACATATGTATGGTAAATGTATTTACCTGTGTAACCTGGTATAGAGCAGGGTTCATATATGGTGTCAGATCTATAGGTAATGTACATGTATTTGTATGGTAAATGTATTTACCTGTGTAACCTGGTATAGAGCAGGGTTCATATATGGTGTCAGATCTATTGATAATGTACATGTATTTGTATGGTAAATGTATTTACCTGTGTCACCTGGTATGGAGCAGGGTTCATATATGGTGTCAGATCTATTGGTAATGTACATATGTATGGTAAATGTATTTACCTGTGTAACCTGGTATAGAGCAGGGTTCATATATGGTGTCAGATCTATAGGTAATGTACATGTATTTGTATGGTAAATGTATTTACCTGTGTAACCTGGTATAGAGCAGGGTTCATATATGGTGTCAGATCTATTGATAATGTACATGTATTTGTATAGTACATGTATTTACCTGTGTAACCTGGTATGGAGCAGGGTTCATATATCGTGTCAGATCTCTTAGTAATGTACATGTATTTGTATAGTAAATGTATTTACCTGTGTAACCTGGTATGGAGCAGGGTTCATATATCGTGTCAGATCTATTGGTAATGTACATGTATTTGTATGGTAAATGTATTTACCTGTGTAACCTGGTATGGAGCAGGGTTCATATATGGTGTCAGATCTATTGTATACTTCATCTCTTCATCTGTCAATTGAATGTCCTGCAAGTATTGTTATCATATAAAACAATTAGAATTCTGTTTTTGTAGTTGTATATTCATTTTTAAGAAGAACCTGTTTTTATTTCTTTCATCAGATGCAATGGTATTTTGTTCAATTTTCTGGTGTTTTAATGCAATCTGAGCATGTTTTTTATCTTTATCTATTTAGCTTCATTTCTCAGTTTTGATTGGTACATTAAATATCAAAGCACAAGTGCCAAAGTCAGCAATATTGACAGATGACTTCTACAATGTAGTGTTACTAGTAAATTAGTACAATACTGTACTGTTCATCTCTATTCAAAGAATTAGTTGAATAATAGCTTGATATTAATATCTATGATATAAGATGTGAGAAAACAATTCCATTCTCCAGACCTAACATAACAATTTTAATAACTCATTTTGGTAAACTGAAAAATTGTATACCTCTACTGTAAGCCTTGAAAGTCACGACCTCGGCCTTAATAAGTCTTAATAATCAGTAGAACAATTTTAAGGTGTACAACATAGTGTACAGTTGACCCCAAGAGCAGTCTACAATTATACACTATGTTCTATTTATCAATGAAAAATTGTATACGTCTACTGTAAGCCTTGAAAGTCATGACCTCAGTCTTAGTCTTAATAATCAGTACAACAATTTCAAGGTGTACAACAGGGTGTACAGTTGACCCTAAGAGCAGTCTACAATTGTACTCTATGTTCTATTTATCAGTGTTAAGGTATTGTACAGTGTATGGCATGCAGGGGTACTATACTCACATTTTTACGCTTTCCTGAGGACTACAAAGAAAGAAAGGTAGCTGTATGGTTTATGGGGGTTTACTAACAGTCACTTGCATCACTGTCAAAAGCCACAAAACTAGAATTACACATCTAATATAATAAAAGGAGAAACTTTTAGTTTGTGTTTGTTAACATTGGTGTCTCACAAAGATTTACTTTAACAATAAAATGTCAAGTAGTAAGAAGTATAAATGAATAAATAAAGTATTCTTGAGAAATCCAAACAAAGAGTTAAGTAAGTTAAGCAAATCAGGAAACATTACAAGAACTACTTGATTATATAGTGTCACTTTGCATGATCTAAAAGCTAGACTGGTTCTCTTGCAATGTGTCACATGTTAGAAACATTTATAATTTTAAATAATCATATTTAAAAAAATGGAAGACTGGCTGTGTTTATATTTTTCAAAGTTTCTTCATCTTAAATTCAGTTTATTCATGGCTTGTTTTCCCTAAAGCTATCACCATCCCACTAATCAACTCACTAATTTCGATCCTTTTATATTGAACGCAAAACCAAGGCTGATGTGACACATTATAATTATATGCATAGCGAAAAACAACTGAAAAATACTTACTATGCAAATATATGTCACTTTAAGCAATTAGCAATACACACCAAGGCACATACGGAAGGCAAACTCTGGTGAATATAAACAATAAAACAATGTGTAAATGTGAGTGGGTCTTAGGCCCTTATGAATCAAATGTCTGTTTAGCAGGACCTGTTTGGTCATTTAAACATCTCCATGGAAACACATCTATGGGCAAACTTTGTTCATAGGATTTATGAATAATTTTGATAAAAAAGAAAAAACTGCCACCTTATAATTTTCTGAATTAATCCTGATAAACAGACAATTGACCAATAGGAGCTTTAATTGTATTTTCAGTAATTCAGCTTATCAGTGACGGCGAATGTGCAGCTTCAAAATATGGCTAAATAAGGAGTTGGTCCATTTAATTATGACTTCATCACAAGACAATGCCATATTTAGCCCTTCTTAAAGTTGTACATAATACTGCTTAATTTTGAGTGAATTAAAGCGTGAAAATGCAAATTCAGCAAAAATGTAAAAAGCAAGCAATAATATCACATCAGTATGGACAAATGTTGTGCTTCAAGAAATTACTACGAAAAATTCTCTGTTGAGCACAAGATCCAAATACATGGAGGACAACAGTATGGTAAAAAGACACTATGTATTTCTTGTGTTACAAACATATTTTTAAACAATACATAGGACCTTTAATTCTCCATGTGGAATAAAAACATGGTATAAAACAATCACACAACTATAAATTCACTCAATTTTTGATAAATCTACAGGGTGATCAATCTTTCAAACTAGTCATGCTACAAATATTTCATACTAAAAGCTTGGCATTGCAAGAACTAATAATAATATTTGTTGACAAACTAAATGGTGTTTTTCCAAATGAATGAACTCAACATATCAACATGCTTTGATCCTATCAAGTATATCCACTTACATTTATCATTGTATAGGAAGTATGGACATCCCGGAAATGGCTGATGTCTAACACAGGTTTAGGGCTAACCTGGTCAAATACCTGTAATATAGGAGAAAGGTTTTGGTGTTAATAAACTTCTAAAAGGGGAACACCTTAGGTACTTTTAAATAGTGAGAGGTGTTCCACTTACAGAGGTTCATTTAAATAGGGATTCAGTGCATCATAGAACTAAAGTCTTCCAATAACAGAGGTGTTCTACCTATAAGTGTTCAATTATTTGACAGTTTTAATGTATGTTTAACTCATGAATGGATGCATGCATGCATCTATCTTAACTGACAGAATAAACTATAGAGAATAGTCATTGTGAAGCTCTTAAAGAGTGTTATGGTCCAAGTAATATACAGGGTGCCAAAAAGTATCTTTATTATTAAATACAAAGTATATGTGTAAAGTGTACAGAGACTTTATAGACACCCTGTGTATATTTAAAACTATGGGTTCAGAAAACTCTTTTAAGTACATTTCATGGTGTCTTGTTACATTAAGTTTTACTATTACCTTATGTTTGAGCAAAACTCCAAGCTGTGAATTTAGAATGAGCCCCTTACAGCGGCCATATGCTTTATCACCCATCTGAAATATATATTGGAATCAAATTAAAAATATATTGAAAATTCCTAAAACATTTTGTGTTTTAAAGATCTGATTTATACAACTTCGAGACTTTCATCACTTTTTTACTTTCATATCAGATTCTAAAATTACTGAAACTACATCCCATAGTAGGTAGAAATGTACATGTTATCTATTAACTTGCTGTGTATATTGTAGCCGAGACAACACATGTTCCAAGTCTGTATATTAACTCTCATTTCTTCATTTTTAAGAGTTAAGTCATCACATTTTGCATGCATATTCCCTGGAGAAATCCTAATATAGAATTTTAATGGTTTTACATTCATCACATTCATAAGTATATGCAAAAATATTACTTTTCCTTTACTCCATTGCTGGAACAAAAAAAATCCCATAAACAATATAGTCGCTGATACTGCAGGTGTAAAAGAAATCATAATTCATACATACTATTTCCTGACTCCCCTCACAGGGTTCAATAACAGGGTACCCCTGGTGAGGATGTTCACGTAGGACTTCAACTATACGCTTTGCAGTTTCTACCTGATGCAAGCATGTGCTGGGGGAGTTCATTATTTCACTGGAATTATACACATGTGAACTTCCATTAGCACACAATGTAGTAGGTACACACAATGAGGCAGGAGGCAACACAGCGAGGCAAACAACAGGATCATAGAGGTGAGTTGGGATGCATAACTTGGGTTACTTTGGTTATAGCCTTCTCTGAGCAGGGCAAGCTGGGAAATTTTCCTGTTGGAGTCCAAAATATGTTTAGTTAAAGAATATTGTATTCACCATAGCTAGAAAGTCCACAACATTGTTGTTTTTGGATGAAGTTCAATTCTATTGAAAATGCTGCTCAAAATGTTGTGCTTTGTGTGAAAATATTCAAGCACAGGAATTAATGATTGGTAGGTTATTAATTTGTTTGCTCCACCTGTATGCTACCCTTTTACCTTGGCCTGTCAGGTTGGTTTGAGGCTTGCTTACAAGAACCTCACTCATTAAATCACCCACCATGTATGGAAAGCCAATGATCACCCACCGTGCATTGAATCCTGGGCTTAAATCTCTTCTTAACCATTGGTGCTAAACTTAACAACTGATTGACTCAACCTAGTTTGTAGTTCAAACCATAACAGAAATGATCCCAGTTGGTCCTATCAAAAGTCAAACTGACCTACACCTGACCACCTCTAGATCAGATTGTTAGTTCCCGTATAACACACAACTGCAATGTCAATGTTTGGACAATGGATGGCATGATACTTGCAGTTAGAGTGGTTGTGGTGGGGTTGGGGCCAATAGCTGCAGGCAGCATCAAATTTACATGACAAGGTGATTGGTTAATTTATATACACTGAATTTGAGAATGTACATGGATTATAGGTGCATCTAGGCAACACACATCTGAGCAGGTACAGCGAGCGATGGGTGATCCAACATCTTTCATTTGATCTTGAAAACACCAGGTATTAACTGGTGCAGCAAAGCAAATGAGATGCTGAGGAGCAAAACCATGAGCTTTTTAGACTTTAAAAAGACCATGGTGTAACGGAGCTGTAGCAAGCAGCCAATGAGCCATTAAACGCTTCTGTGAATCTGAAATTCTGGCTACAACTCTTAGTAAGCATTCCCACTAAAAATAAAACAAACAATGAAAACCCGGAAAAAAACAACGAATTTTTCCACATACATAATTACTACTTTCTAGGCCATCTGTGCCAAATTGATCAGCTTCAAAGTGAGAAAAAACTGGCTCGCTACAGCTCCTAGCAACTGCAGGATCATCTGTCTCCATGGCAACCACAGGGTAACCACGGTGTTTGTGTCTTTTCCAAAGTGTATATAAATTCTCAACTGTTTCTACTTCATTTACTGTCTCTACGGGTTCTGCCATAATCTCCCTTAAATAATAATAAATATGATATTTGACAATCTAATATGATAATTGGAAATATGATATGATGATTTCCAATTTGTATGATAAATGTCAATATCTTATGATAATCAGATCTATTGATATATATGGATTTACATATGATATAATATTCAGCAAATAATATGATATTCAGCAAATGATATGATAATTGGCAAATTATATAATAATCAGCAATATTATATGAAAAATTGGCATTTTGATATTATAATCAGCAAATGATATGATACTCAGCAAATGATATGATAATTGACAATACCATTTAATAATCAGCAATGTTATATGGAAATTGGCATTTTGATATTATAATCAGCAATATGACATAATGTTTGGCAGAAATATGATATTATAATTGGCAATATCATATGAGAATCAGCATTATGGTATTATCATTGACATGTACAGACCAGAGATTAGTACCAGTCAACACTTATAAGCAAGAAGTGTGTATGGGCATGGATAACTCCACTATTACAGGTTTACCAACTAAGCTTACTTTTAAGTGGTCATAATCATTGATGGGCAAAACAAAGCACAATTCTTTGCCGTACTAATTAAACAAAGGCTAAGCAATTTCAGACATAAATAAATTAACAAGCAGTATTGGCATTGATATCATGACAAAATGGCACCACCTGCAAATGGTTACAAAAGTATAATAGCAAAAAGGTGTGACACTGATCACAAAAAATGGAGGCTAATTAACATGATACATAACATGTGGATATATTTTTACAATATGTAATATTAGTTATGATATGCACAAGTACATTACATGAGAACAGCTACTGTATATTTAATAATGCTTTCTTACAGTAATCTAAAGTAATATCCTCATCTAATAAACCATGTCATCTCATTTCTGATGTTTCTCCTCAGGGTATAAAATGCTATGATATTTTGTATACAATTTGACTTTGAGGTAAAATGCTATGATATGTTGTATACAATTTGACTCTGAGGTAAAATGCTACGATATTTTGTATACAATTTGAATTTGAGGTAAAATGCAATGATATTTTGTATACAATTTGACTTTTAGGTAAAATGCGATGATATGTTGTATACAATTTGACTTTGAGGTAAAATGCTATGATATGTTGTATACAATTTGACTCTGAGGTAAAATGCTACGATATTTTGTATACAATTTGAATTTGAGGTAAAATGCAATGATATTTTGTATACAATTTGACTTTTAGGTAAAATGCTATGATATGTTGTATACAATTTGACTTTTAGGTAAAATGCTATGATATTGCTATAGTATTTGACGGACAAATGCTATGATGTTCTTTATAGCATTTGATGAACCAGATGAGTTTTTTCTTCTTTCATTCTGCTCATATTGTGGTGAAGATATCACACATTGTGCTTGCGTTATCGAACCCATCAAAAGAGCTCAAAAACAGAAAGAGGGGGTGGTAGAATATCAGAATGTATTGGATTCCATTAAACAAAGATACACTCTTATCTCAAAATATTAGCATGGTAATATGTGTTTCAAAATATCACACGGTGACATTTGTATTTATTATATCACCATGGTGATAATCACCATGGTGAGTTGGTGAGATTTGTATTTAAAAACATTGCCATCATAACACTTGTGTGCTTACCTTGCAAATACAGTGTAGGACATCTCAGGGGCATCCCAGGGCAGTATAGGAATCCCCATCATGTAGATATGCATGTCATATAAACCCTGGAAATATAACAGAAATATCTATTGGGGCTCAATTTCTCTTGACATCATAAGTTTTGTAATGATACTGGAGTTTATTTTTTAATACAATTGTAACTTCAGATTCCAGGAAAACTATTGTCGACCTTTTGACATACAATGACTTGCGACAAATTAGTTAGTTACGACAGTTTCAAAAATGGACCTCTGAATATCATGTTACTACTAGCGACAGTTGAGCATCAGGCTTTGAATCTGATGTTCTCCACACAGGGTGTTCAATTTTGCACACTTTAATATCTGTATCTGGCTTGTTACACTATGCTCGCCATAAGTCATTCTCTGGATGCACCCTTTGGTCATTACAGTTACATATCTCTTTTTTCAGATTTTAAGTTTTTGCAGACAAATTATTTAAATCCATTTACTCTATGATGTCAGGTAAAATTGACAGATGAAGAATTTATTTCAAATAAATATAAGAGGAAACCTTATTTCAAATCCTTTACCTTATTGAAGAAATCTCCAACCCATTTAGCGAGCATCAGGCAGAGCATTATGGGTAATCCAAATTTGATATCACCCGTGCACTCAACAAGGATGACAGTGAGGCTAATTGTCATTCTGACTGTGCCCCCCAGCTGACAGGCTGCACCAATCAGAGCATATTTCCCAATATTATTACCCTGAAACATGACATAGAAAACATGACATATATAAAATGTGACACTTGACATATAAATTATATCATTGTGACTGATTAATGTACAAATTAACTGACCCGTTTTAAGAGAAAATGTAAATATAAAGTAAAAAATGTCTATTATCTCATAGCCAGTAGTCACAATATACTCCCCCTTTATGAGTAAAGGGGCACAATGACTAAATGAGAGATTATTCCCTTTATGACTTTCTAGCAGTCACCTTTCTACTATGCGGATTAGTCGTACATGTCACGTACATAGCCAACTGTTGACCAATGAGGCACCCTTATAGAAAGCTAATACCATATCTGGAAATCTTTAATAGTGACCCTTACCATACTAGGAACAATTTGTAAAAATCCCAAGCCAATCAATCTCCCCCAGACTGCACCAATGAGAAGTGAGGGAATAAAAACACCACTAGAAACACTGAGTCCATATGTCCAACATGCTAGCAAGAAGTATGGAATCACAAGGGTTATTAGCGTAGTGGCTTGGAACGCATCTGAAACAATGAAATAATACTCTACAATATACATTGGTTCATAGAATATAGTTTTGATCAGATAAATATTAAACAAATAGATGACCATGAGGTGGATATGCCAGAATACCTATCCGAGGAAAAAAATACTAGGCGAGGCGAAGGAATAGACCCTGCAGCTCTTAACCAATCAGATTTGAGTATTTTAATGAGGTGCATAATAAAATAATATACAACATAGTTGATAAAATATATGCACATTTTATGTGACGTTGATAAAAAAGAACCTTGAATTGTTCAGTTTTTAAGACCTTCAACTGAATGAAATGATATTTCTACAAAAGCTCATAATGAACTCTCCATGGAATTTTTTAAAAAGTGACCTCCTTTGGCAAAATCTTGCTATGGGCAAGGATGATCTTACCAGGTGACATACGGATTGGTTGCTATAATAACAAAGTTCTATTTTATTGGAACTAGTCAAAATTGTTTGGTCGCTATAGTATTCCAATTGGTTGCTATAGTAATATCAAAGAATATATTATACTCTACCTGCAGGCTCATGTAGCATGCTGACCAAACTGGCCTCTGGGGACTTGAAGAATATATCACCCATGGCATTGTACTGTCCATCTGGGCAAAACACCTAGTAACAGTAACTATAAGTAATGTACAGTGTGCTATATCAATATCAAAGCATACACACATTATGTAAATAATTATATTTAGGAGACTATAACATTGTCCTTGCATACATCAAATTTCATCTTTAAAATATCAGTTAATTCATAGAGGGTCAACAGGCCCGTAGCCAGGGCCAAAATTTCTTTCAAAATCATGCAGTTTTTCACCATTCTGACTATTTTTGGAGTGATTTTTGGCCAAATTTGCCAAAGTGAACCCCCCCCTAGAATTTTTTGAAAAGTAAATCCCTCTTGGAAAATTCTGGCTACGTGCCTGGTCAATTAGTAAGGAGGTCAGTCTGAGATGCCATTGATTAAATATGGAGGCAAAATATTGATCTGGCCCCTAAATGCTTATGAAACTAATATATATAATCTAGCTTTGTAGATGATTTCTTCATCTTTTTTCTGTGGTATATTTTCATAGCGAGATGATCGTATAATTTTACCTGAATTCTGGTTTCATAATGTTCATCATCAAGGTTATCGCGACAATCATGCACAAAGAAGATCATGACAAACCCCAAGAGGGCGCTGATGGCAGCCACCAGCATGGCTTCAAGAACCATTAGCCATCTTTTGGGGCAAATATACCTGAAACAGTTTTGCTTGGTTATATAATCTGAAAAATACTTGTATGAGAAATATAATGAGAAAAGAAAGCACATACATGTAGTAAACTTTAATGTTCGTTTCAGTAAGGACTTCTGCAAAATTTATTTAGTTTTAATCATTGAGATATATAAGGATCACTCATCTAATTTCAACAAAATTAGGGTTTATCAAAAACATGAATACAGTCATTTCGAACACACTTAACTAAATCGATTACATGTACATGAAATGCAAAACAAGAGACAATGCCTTACATGGTCCCCTCTCTACACTAAAGAGCTAATAGCCGTAAACCCCATCCTAAATAAACCTGAAATATATTTTTGTGATATGAATCAACAGACTTGGACATTAACATTATTTTCTGTAATTACTGAAGCTTGAAATAAATCATACAAGTATAGGTGGTAAAATGAGCTAAAAGCAGGAATTTTATAACTTATCATACAGCTAAGTAAATTAGAATATTAATATATTAGGGATTACAAGCTCTGGTCTTTTCAGAAATGAACATTTATGTTCAAGCCTACAGATTGAGTGAGTTGGAAACTATTATGAATCAACTAATTTTGTGTAATTTAGGGTGATAATGGTAAGTCGTGATAATTACAGGTATTGGCCCTTTAATGTACAGCTGAGTCATCAGATATATAACATTTAAAAGATATGCTTCTAATCGTACCTACTTGTGTCTAAACACGGTCAGCCTGTAATTGATTGCATTGAAGAAAGCCCCTGAAAAGCCACCTGGAAAACATTGAAAATTAAGTAAAGATTTTTAATAATGCATGGATTTCAAAGAAATCTTTTACTGGGGAAAGCAATCTGTTAAGCAATAAAATTTATAATTGCATAAAACATTAGCAATATTTGGATGAGAAAAGTCAGACGCACAGTAGAAGTCCCAGTTTTAATGTAATTTGTAATACTACAATTTTAGCTAAAATTAAATTTTGAACGATAAATGGGGGTAATTTTCATTTGAGCTGCTACCTGAAAATTTTTTTCCCGAGTAACAGACCTTTATTACCCATAATGCATCAGACAATAATACTTAAACTATATCTACAACCAGCATTATAAATTTGAGATGTATTAGAGGACAAAACAAATTTCTGAATGGGTAAAAATTAACAAGAGATGGGTGTCAGTGTTTCACCAAACATGGCCAGTGGACCTTTCTGAAAAGTTATTTGAAATTCATATGTCGTTCTTACTTACCTACAACACCCATTAACAGGAAAATTGGTAATTCTATTGCTTGGTATGAAATATCCTGAAACAAACAATAATAAAAAGATTAGAAACGCTATTGCTTGGTATGAGATATCCTAAAACAAACAATAAAAAGATTAAAAACTCTATTCCCTGGAATGAAATATACTCAAACAAAGACAGTTGAGGAAAACTCCACAGACACTGGAATAATACATCATACTTTTGGTATCAATGATGTTTTGCAATTTTTACTTTCAAGTTTCTAAGCATTTCTTTACACACTAACATGTGAGGTTGATGAATAACATGATCACACATATGGAATATGATAAAAGCCAGGATTTGAGAGTTCTAAATGGATGCCATATATATGTGAACATGTCTGAAACTTACTGGGAACCTGCCAAAACTTATAAGGCCAGTAGGCCCGTAGCCAGGAGGGGTTCGCAGGTTTCGGGCATACCCCCACTGGCCAAAAATTCTTTCAAAATCATGCAGTTTTCCACCATTTTGAGCACTTCTCAAGTGATTTTAGCTATAATTGGGCCAAAATTGTCAAATGTGAACCCCCCCTGGAAATTTTTGAAAACTTAACCCCCCTTGGCAAATTCTGGCTATGGCCCTGGCCAGGATTTGAGAGATCTGAAGGATGACCATGTATATGTATGTGAACAAGTCTGAAGTTGAATACTTACTGGGAACCTGCCAAAGCTTATAAGGCCAGGATTTGAGAGGTCTGAAGGATGACCATGTACTGCACTTAGGAGCAGGTTTACTGCAAATGTGGCAAGCATTGAGGCAAACACCTAGAATGCAAAACACAGATGAATTGAATATTACTCAATCAAATACTACAAAGACAAACAATTGAACTTATTGTTGATATTAAATGAATAGCATCTTGTTTACTACCAATTAACTCGAGAACATGTACTGGCCATGGGTTCGCATCTAATATTCTGCAGTCATAATTTTTTATATCATGTATCTTGGAAGACAGATCCAGGGACCCATCCTTGAATAAAAAGCCACATATTTTCTAAATTTGACAGGAAACAGTCAGCAACTTAATTAAAAAAATAAGGATCGTGTATATTAGAATTGAAGACTTCTACTTACTATTCTCCATGTAAGACTTTGGTTCCAAAAACTTGCACCTTCTTCCAATGTAAACAGTACACCCCCTGAAATACAGATTTTGCATTTTAATATTAAAGACTGCAGTATATATGCCTTTATCATTTAAGTATTACAGACAAATCTGAAATCAAGAGCAATTTGTGCAATTTATATTTGTACAGAAAGTAACAAAAGTTAGAAACCACTTCATGCTTTTAGCCTCATTTTCGAAGTAAAATACATTTCCTTTTTTGTGTTTTCATAATAATTCTCCAGAATTAGGCCTAAAAATTAACCAATTTGATTAGAAATACTATAAATTAAAAGGGGTGATCAATAAGTAATGGACGCTTTTTTACACAGATACTTTTTATTGACCAATCCCTTTGATTTTCTTACCAGTGATACATCATTCAATTATCTATCAATTCTGAAGATTTGAAGACAAAATGTATAATACATGTTGATATATCCTTATTTCCGTGAAGGAGGTACAGGTACCCCGGGACCGACATTTACGTCACATATTCAGTTTTTAGCCAGTTTGGTAAATTTGAGTTAGATTTGAAATTTTTATATGTAAGAAGTGTTGTATTGTTTTAAATTTTTTGCTGACTGGTAACACATAAACAGAAAGTATTGTAATGTCAGAGTGTTGTATAGAAGGGGTTTGCAGGTCAATTTGAGAAAGCATTCTGGAAGAAAGGGGTGGGGAGAGAAGGGAACACCCTACTCCATATGGACAATGCACCTGCCCACAGATCTCAAAATGTTCAGAAAACAATATCCCTGGACCTCAAAATTGAGCCCTTGGCCAATGCACCATATTGTCCATATCTGCTCACATGTGACTTGTTTATTTCTATACTACTTATTTCTATAGAGTAAGGACGCAGGTTTATTAACATTGATTAAATAAAACAACCCAAGCAACTGTATCTTGCTACCATGTCAGAGAATGGATTCAGCCTTGTCTCACAATCTCTAGTTAAGAGGATGAAGAATTGTGTACATGTAGCACTTAATGGAACCTATTTAGAGGGCCCTGTTGAATGAATGTGGCATGAATACCACATAGTGATGATAAAATATTCAAAATCAACTATGGCATAACAAAATGGGGTAATTCATGACCATAATGGTTTGTTTTGTCCAGCTTGCATTAAACTGCATTGCATGTTAAACAAGCTAAAATAGCTTCAGAATATGTGACGTAAATGTCGGTCCCGGGGTACCCGTACCTCCTTCACGGAAATGAGGATATATCAACATGCATTATATATTTTGTCTCCAAATCTTCAGAGTTGATAGATAATTGAATGATGTATCACTGGTAAAAAAATCGAAGGATTTGGTCTATAGAAAGCATCTGTGTAAAAAAGCGTCCATTACTTATTGATCACCCCTCGTACATTCATGGTTATATAGCTTTTTAATCTTCAATTTTGTGTATGTACATAACATACAAAATTTTGATGAATGTGTAGGATACATGTATGTGTATGGGCTACAGTAGTTGGGTCATATTTCTGGCCAAAAAGATTTAATCAAATGATGTTTGTACCAAAACATACATAACTAAGATCATTGATTTGAAGGCTTCATGTAGATAGTTAGACCCCTTGAAACCTCTAAAGTCTACTTACCTATTGGTGCACCAAAAGCAGCAGAGACACCAGCAGCCGCCCCACCTGATACAAAGTCTCGTCTTTCATTATCAGATCGAAAATATTCAAATACCTTAAAGTACAAAAAAGGAAAACTGGCAATAAGGAAACATTTAAAAGTTCATTCAAAACTCATTCAGTCAGTTATAATCAAAATAATACATTGCTTCAAATTGTAAGAGAACTAATTCCTAGCACTTTGCACTTTTTTCAAAATTAATTTCAGACTATGATCAACTTTTTCTAATTACTGATCATGATTTGTTACCGTGGTGATCATGATGTCATAATACACATTAGAAAAATAGACATTTCTATGGCTGTTTAAATTATTCTTACCTTGAAATCCTTATTGCATAGTTTTGACCTCCCCTGTGATATACCAGCTGCCACTATACTACCTGAATGGATCATTGGACCTTCCTAGGGATAAAGCATAATATTTAATCAACAGCAGACAAGCAAGGCGTCGATACTAATCAAGTAACAGAAATCAACTTGCCAATAAGATTCAAAATATGGAGACAATTAAAATTGGAGACAATTGGAGAACTAAAATTGGAGACAATTGGAGACAACTAAAATTGGAGACAACTAAAATTGGAGACAACTAAAATTCGAGACACTTGGAGACAACTAAAATTGGAGACAATTGGAGACAACTAAAATTGGAGACAATTGGAGACAACTAAAATTGGAGACAATTGGAGACAACTAAAATTGGAGACACTTGGAGACAACTAAAATTGGAGACAATTGGAGACAACTAAAATTGGAGAAATTGGAGACAACTAAAATTGGAGACAATTACCCAAATGCGAGTAGGTAGTTACCAGTTTCACCACTAGGTGGCTGATTCGGGTCAATTAACATGGCAGGTATATAAGAAAGTTCCCTTAAACTTGAATATTATCAATTTAAGTGGCTCAATTTTCATATAACCCTTATGTGTCTGATACTTATACTAATGAAAATATGTCCAGTAAAGCAAAATAGTATCTGTCCACTAAAAGAAAATATATTTCATTTTTTGTGATTTTATAGCATGGGGTCTATGGCGAATCTCCCCGAGCTAGAAGTCACATTTTCAAAGAAAATAATTTTTTCAAAGTTGATAAACACTTTTTAAAACCACATTTCTAGATGTAACTTTACATGTAGATTTCAAATATGATATTACTTTGACTGAATTTTGAATTTTTAATGACGTAAATCAAGATTATTTCTACTCGCATCTGGGTTATTGGAGACAACTAAAGTTTTCTTGTTGATACTGAGATTGTGATTCAACATTAAAATTGTGATTCTTAAATTTGGAGATCTCCTAACTTCATAAAAAACAAGACTTCTATGTGATGCCAAATCGATATAGTAAAATCCTAATTGCTCACACAACATGAATGAACGACAATATTAAGATCAACTTCGAACCTTTTTTGCATGTCTTGACCTTATTTTTACTATGTTTCAAATCTGTAGGTTAACTATGTCTATGTAAGTGTTGTGCTCTGCTCGACATAATAAAATTAAAAATAAAAAACAAAATTAATTGTTTACCTTTCCACATGCAAGGCCTCCCCCTACAGAGAGTATAACACCAAACATCTTTGCAGCCAGGGTCTTTATGGAGAGAAGACCTGGGATTTTTACACCATTCAAATAACATTTTATCTGTGGAATTCCACTACCAGCAGCCTGGGGCTATAATAAAGTGAGAGTCTATTTTAATATTTGCAAAACCAAAATATTCATAATATGATTAAAAATTAAATCTAAGTACAGTTAAACCTGTTTAAATGGAATGCATTTGGTACCTAAAATATGGCTCCACTTGGGAGGTGTTCTCATTACAGAGTTTCACTATTAAGTTAATTTAATACAGGTCTGAGAAGTGTTCCATTTATAGAGATAATCCACATATAGAGATATTCTACTTCCAAAAGTTTTACTGTGCTTCGTAATTTTAATAAGGTATATTTTGCATTTACTTTCTACTACATGTGACAATCAAATAATGACCTTGTGACAATATCCCAGATGCGAGTAGAAATAATCTTGATTAACGTCATTAAAAATTTAGTCAAACTGATATCATATTTGGAATCTACATGTAAAATTACATCTAGAAATATGGTTTTGAAAAGAGTTTATCAACTTTGAAAATTTAATTTTCTTTGAAAATGTGACTTTTAGGTCGGGGAGATTTCCCATAGCCCCCATGTTGTAAAATCACAAAAATGGAAATATCTTTTCTTGTGTTGGGCAGATATTTTCTTTTACTGGACATATTTTAATTTGTATAACTATCAGATACAAAAGGGTATGAAAAGTGAACCACTAAAACTGATGAATATTCAGGTTTAAGGAATTTTGTAATACCCTGCCATGTTATTTCCCCCGAATCAGTCACCTGGTGGCGAAACTGATAACTACCTACTCGCATCTTAGTAATTAAGAGTTCAACTTACTGCTACATATGTGACAAGTGCTGAACCAGCAGCGACAACAAGGGCATTAAAGGCGACCCAGGCTAGTAGTGGGACAGCCAGACAGCTGTATGTGCGACAAAAGTCAAATACTAGTGTCAGTTAAAGAAAATATTTCATGGAACAATACAGTCAATCATGTTCAAGATGTTACATTTCAAATAAAGCATTTTAATGCAACGATTACATAGTCTATACAAGTCAACTTAGTCAAACTATTATCATTATTAAAAGTCAACTTCAGTTATACATAATCAATAATTATACAAATCTAAATTTTATTTATCAAAAGTCTGATGTTAATATATTAAATAGATGATACCTAAACTATCATTGAGAAAAGGATACACTTTTTAAGTGCAAGGAATTTGTATTCTGTTATATATTCTATACATATTTCTATAATAGTTGCTACCAGAGCAGTCCCTATTCCAATCATCAGCATCACCAACCATCTTGCTAACCATTTACGCTGCAACTTCTGCAAGTAAACAAAAATGTTCATGTAAAAAGAAATCTTCAACCTGAGTAAACAGATATTAGGTATCATGACATCCACATCGAGCATTGTCTGCAGGCTCATGATATCCACACCGAGCATTGCCAGTATGCTCATGACATCCACACCGAGCATTGCCTGCGTGGTCATGAAATTCACACGTAGCATTACCTGCGTGCTCATGATATCCACATCTTGCATTGTCTGCATTCTCATGATATACACATCGAGCATTGCCTGTATGTTCATGATAACCATATCCAGTATACCAGCATGCTCATGATATCCACACCAAGCATTGTCAGCATGCTCATGTTATCTACGCCAAGCATTGTCTGCATGGTCATGTTATCCACATCTAGCATTGTCTGCATGCTCATAATATGGACATCGAGCACTGCCTGTATGTTCATGATATCCACACAAAGCATTACCTGCATGTTCATGATATCATCACTGAGCATTGCCTGTATGTTCATGATAACCATATCCAGTATACCAGCATGCTCATGATATCCACACCAAGCATTGTCAGCATGCTCATGATATTCACACCAACCATTGTCTGCATGCTCATGTTATCCACATCTAGCATTGTCTGCATGCTCATGATATACACATCGAGCATTGCCTGTATGTTCATGATATCTACACAAAGCATTGCCTGCATGTTCATGATATCATCACCGAGCATTGCCTGCCTCGGTGTGGATAGGGAGGTCAATGGTCTCACTCAATATCAAATTGGAATATCAATGCCTAATAGATTTATAGTGATTAACATTCTCAAATGTTACCTTTTGCAAACCAAATATAAATCCTTTACAATCATAATACAGTATACAGATATATATCACAACAGTACATCTAAACACAAAATAGTTTCCAAACACCTCTGAATATGAGTGCTTTTTTCAATTAAATTTGTTTTAACCTGGCAAACACTTACATGTAAAATAAAAAAAAACTAGTAATGAGAACACCTGCCAATCTGAACACTTTGGGCTGGTCCCTTTGGTGTTCAGATTAGACAGGTTTTACTGTATACAATTATTGACCTCTCCAGAGGTTTACTGTCAAAATTATATCCCGAGACTGTAAACCGAGACCGTAGGTCGAGGTTTACAGTCGAGGGATATAATTTTGACAGTAAACCGAATGGAGAGGTCTATAATTGTTTTGTTAGTCCGAAGAATATCTTAGATTTTTCTGACCCTTGAAGTTGACTTGAAGTTGGATCCAGACCCTGAGATCTACATCTGCCACGGCAGTAAGTTCACTCAATGGAGTCAAATTACTCTCCTGGGCGAAGTCCACTAAAAGCTTTGTACAAAGTTTTAGATTTTCCTTCGTATTTTGACTGTCTTTACTCTCTAAGAGACTAATTAAATAATATCCTCATCTTCAACATTTTTGAAACGGCTAGTGCTAGCGGCGGCCATTTTATCGTCTGATAATGACGTCATTTTAGTGGAATGCTGGGAATATTATTCACCGGCAATGCATTGTGCGGTGTACAGTTAAAATTATTCACCGCTCGTTGACCAATCAAAATCGAGTATTTCAACTGAGGTACTAACAATATAAATTGACAAACACATTTAACACCAGATAGTATCACAAGATCATAAGATTATCCTTGTTCAAAAAACCTTGAAATGTAAACACCTGCCAATCTGAACACTTTGGGATGGTCCCTTTGGTGTTCAGATTAGACAGGTTTTACTGTATAAATTGACAAACACATTTAATACCAGACAGTATCACAAGATCATAAGATTATCCTTGTTCAATTAAAACCTTGAAATGTGAACACCTGTCAATCTGAACACTTTAGGCTGGTCACAGTGGTGTTCAGATTAGACAGGTTTTACTGTATAAATTGACAAACACATTTAACACCAGACAGTATCACAAGATCCTAAGATTATCCTTGTTCAATTAAAGCATTGAAATGTGAACACCTGTCACTCTGAACACTTTAGGCTGGTCACAGTGGTGTTCAGTTTAGATAGATTTTACTACATAAATATTGTGGTTCAAAATCTTATAATTAATTGATACAGTGTCTCTTCAGTTTGAATGACAAGCCCATTGATTATAGTTGTCTAAAACAACATGGCATCTTTAACCAAGCAGATCTGATTGCCAACTCCTGTATAAAACCAATTATTTGATATGATATAGAAACCCAATTCTAAAGTCAGCATAACTCCAAATTAGATTATACAATGACGTGTGTCAATTATGACTCTGAAATAAACTGTTGTTTTCAAGAAGAATTCTCGGATTCACAATTGCATAGAATATTATAACATCAATATTGGATCTTAAAAAGCTAAGTCTACTAGCTTATGGTTAGTTGCCCACGATCCAGTCAAAAAAGATGACTTAGAAATGTGTTACCATTTATGGAGATGACAAAATAATTATTAGATTGTTCTAAAAATCAGTACAAAACCTCTCAATAGGACAGATAACTATATTTTTCGATGATGATAAGATCTTAATATTGTAACTTAATTGTGTAAATACATCTTACCTCAAAATACAAAATAAGCTATCTTTATCTTCAATTATATAGTGTAAAATGAATGCCAGGTACCTATAACAACACAACATTACCACATAATCTTAATGACTCAGGTGTGAGCAGTTAGTTACCAGTTTCACCACCAGGTGGCTCATTCAAGTTAGATAGCATGGCGGTTATAGTAGAAAATTCCCTTGAGCTTAATGTTCATCCGTTTTAGTTTTTCATATCACCCTTATAGTTATGCAAATTAAAATATGCCCAGTAAAAGAAAATGTTATCTGCCCTATAAAAGAAAAGATATTAAACTTTTTTTGTGATTTTATAACATGTGGTCTATGGGGAATCTCCCCAGACTAGAAGTCACATTTTCAAAGAAAATTCAATTTTCTAAGTTGATAATCAATTTTGAAAGCATAATTCTAGATGTACTTTTACTTGTAGATTTCAAATATGACATCATGAATTTTGAATATTTAATGATGTAAATCAAGATTCTACTTGCATCTAGTCTCTGATTGGTTAATTCTAGATAAAAAATGAGGCAAAAACTTGAAATAGGTAACAATGGATATATACATTAAGGGAATTCATATCACTAAAGCAATACACTGGTATAACACTATGGTAATGATGTTGGTTGCCATGTCAACATGGTGTAGATTATATAGTTATTACAAAACAAAATGATTTGTCAACTTTTTATTACATATACTCATTCTTCAAATGATGTGCAAAACGGTGCAATTAGTATAATGAGCCAATTACAGGCCTATTATCAGATATTGACGCATTGGTTGTCATAGTGATGGGCAAAGTCAGACAAATATGTGCAGGTAAGATGATGGAGCATTCTGGAATCGTGCGGCCACTTTTCCTCAACTTCTGTATTCATTTCTAAGTTTGAGGCCCTACAGGCTTAAAAATGACATCACTAGAATCAGATGGTGCCTATTGGAAAGCTGGGATGCCCACGAAACGCCGGGTTGGCCCTGATAACGGTAAAAATAAGATGGGGAAACGGTCGACAGCTGTCGCTCCTGAAAATATGTTGGAGATAGGCAAAAATGAAAAAAATGATCGCAAACTCAGCAGTTATTCTACAAATAGCGATTCCAGCAATTTTAGCATGATGGGGAACTCGAAACATAAAACTGGCCGATGTTATGTTGATCCTGTCTCTCACAGGGGAAAAACAATCCAGATGTTGACAATGCTCATTATGACCTTCATCCCAATAGCTGGTATGGTGGCATATGGTATTTCCTATGTAGCAAATGCCATAGATGCCGAGAACCAGCTTCACATTATAGAACGCCAGGTTGACTCCGTAAAGGCGACCGATGAGCTGGTGCATGCACTGCAACTAGAACGTGCTGCGACTGTGTATGTTCTGGCAACAAATGGATCGGATACATGGAGCCTTAACAAGTACTACAACGAGACCGACCAGGCATTACTGAGCACTGTTGACTGGCTAAAAGATCTGGACATTGTAAGCATAAAGGAATACTCGACCAAAGAGGATTTTCATGAGCATTTACAATTCCATCGCACACACCTACAAGTGAACCACACTTTCATATACAGAGATATGTCCTTCTACACGGAAGCCATTAGATTAATGGTGGACTTTCTTATCGCCTTTACGCAGGACGCAAAGCATGGTATCATCTGGCGTCCCCTGGTGGCTAGTAAAATGATCATCAGAGCAAATGAGAACATTGGAAAGGTTCTGGCAGCAGGGATAGACTATTTCATTAAAGGAGCACTTCCCCTTGAAGACTACAGGTTAGTATATTTCTAAAAGGCCTGCAACATGTAAAGACAATCGTTTTACAGTATAGTGAATTAAGATGGGGTATTATACACAGCATTTAAAGAATTCAAAGAAGACTAATTCCACTGAATTTAATGATTTTTATTTCCTACAGTACAACTGTTATTTTGTCATTTACAGATTTTTCGTCAGCAATGTGGCCTTGGCGAGAGACAATATAGCGACATTCCAAAAATATTCAGAAACTGCAACAAAACTCTACGAGGAAATCTACCTGACGAATACCAACTTACAAACTTCAGTAGAGACTTACCTGGACCTCGTAATTGCTAACAATATTACTGAAGAATGCCTGCCATGTGCTATCAACTTTGACCTGAACATATCAGAATATCTTCATATACTGAAAGTCATCAAAGAGGCAGTGAAAAAGGAAATCATTGATCTGGTAATTCTGCATCAATTATTCTCTTATTCTTTAATCTAATACTAATGTCACTAGATATAGTAATATTACAATAAAATTTTGGTCAGATCACATTATTTTTTTTCAATGTATATACAGCACTGTATATTGAATTTCTTAGGTCATAATTGTCCCATTACTACAATCTTTATTTCTATCCCCCATTTTCTAATATTCAAAAATAACATAGGTTGCTTTTCCCTGCATCCTATATTTTTATATTCATCATAGTTTTTGTTTTGCAACTAGCAATATGCTCTGATATAATAATATTTCTTGATCAAATAAGAGGAGTTACAACTGTCACAACGTGTGAAGTACATAGATATCTCAATTCTCAATCCATCGCATAATTATGATAATGGGCATCATATTCTATTTAATTATCATGAGATGTCAGATGAAGATGAACTGGATGAAAAATATCAAAACTGATGATTCTGAAATCCTTCAGATTAACATATTGCTAAACCTAATATATTTCATCATTGTATCTCAAGACTTGGTTTATCATCAGGGTCTTCTGAGCTATTATCATTATATTTTTCCATTCCAGGTGATCACTGAAATGGCCAAGGCAAAAAGTGATGTTGCAATAGGTGTGATAACATTCTGTATCATGTTCACCTTGTCTCCAGTTGTGGTTACTATGGTGCACCGGTTGACATCACGTCTCCAAGGTTACGCAAAGGATGTGTCAATCAAATCACAAGAGTTAAAGAAAGCTAAGAAGCGTTCAGATGAGCTACTCTATCAAATGTTACCCAAGACAGTTGCACATCAGTTGAAACACAACCAATCGGTTAGTGCAGAATACTTTGATGACGTCACTGTATTCTTCAGTGATATCGTTGGCTTCACAAGTCTGAGCGCTATCAGTTCCCCCATGCAGGTGGTTGACTTTCTCAATGCTCTCTATAGCTTCTTTGACCGCAAGATCCAGAAGTATGACGTATACAAGGTTGAAACTATCGGAGATGCGTATATGGTTGCCAGTGGCGTACCTCAACAGAATGGCATCTATCATGCGCAAGAGATCGCACTCCTGGCTCTGGACTTACTCGAGGGTACCCATACCTTTCAGATTCCACATCTCCCTAATGAGAAATTACTCATGCGTGTAGGCTTACACTCAGGTAAATCGCTACAACTGAGGATAGGGCTGCATACTGGTGAGTGAATAAATGTCACTGGTCAGTATCAGGGGAAGGTAACAGCCGTTACCTTCTATTTCAAAATGAAGACTGATGAATGTCAATTTTTATAAATTTGGTTTTCATCAAATTTTACAACTTTGCCATTGGCTTTAAAATTTTGCCCTTATCAAGCTTGTATGATATAGAGATGTCCAGAATCTGATGAATATTTCCTATATGATTTAATCCTATATGATTTAACAATACAATCTACTGCTTAGGGTAAAGTAATGTGAACTGTATAATGGTTTACAAAATATTTGCATTATTGTTAACTAAGTTGTAGTAGATATTGTTAGATTTTAGAGTCTACATGTTCAGTATGAAAATTTATCTTGTTTCAGCTAGAGTATCAGTACAAGCTTGATTTCTAAAAATGTCAAAACTGAGTGTCTTGAGGCAAAATGGTTTAATTCTATGAAAATTAAATTAAACATATTGAGATCAACATTTACCATTCAACATTTACACTGTTCCACAACTAGTAACTCTGACGGAACATCAATGTCACAAAATGGATGAACTTCCTACTTTATACAACTGAAGTTCGATTTAAACTTACGTATAAGTCATGTTGTGGATTATCATTTGGCACAAAGTTAGACAATATAGTCTAGCTTTTAGAGATGCTCTCGGTTTGGAATTTGATTTTTAAATAAAGCTGTAATTCATGCATTTAGACCATCACTTTTGTTACATTGACGTTACATTGTTACATTATGTTACTTAGAAAGTAACATACATGTATATTGGTAATAAAATGGACTTCATCAATGTAACAAAAGTAAGGGGCTAAATATATGAATTGCAACTCAATTTTCGAAACAAATTCCAAATCGAAGAAACTTATCTAGACTATATTTTCTAGCTTTGTGCCAAATTATAATCTGCAACTTGACTTATATGTAAGTTTAAATAGAGAAAACAAAAACTTGTAACCAGAAAGTTCATCCATTTTGTTACATTAATGTTCCGTCAAAATAACTAGTTGTGGAACAGTGATTTAGAAAGAGAAGGAAAGTCAGTATCAGAAGGTAATGGCTATAACCTTCTTCTGATATTGACCAATGAATGTGGGGAAATGTGTTGAATGAATGTGCATGCTTTAGGGAACCTGTTCGGGACTGTAGCTCGTTTGCCCCTGGGCAAAAAATCTTTTAAAATCATGCAGTTTTTCACCATTCTGAGCACTTTTTAGTGATTTTGGCCATTTTTTGGACCAAGATTGTCACTTGTACCCCTCTGGAATTTTTCCAGGAAGGTCTCATACATGATGATCCCTTTGAAACATTCTATCTCAATTATCTACAGAAGTTCAAAGTTCATCTAAGATGTCATTTTGTGCTCATTGTCATTTATTCAACCATGGAATCTTTTAAAATTATCAGTCCATCTTCAGTTATCTGTTTCAAATGATGGAATTCCAGCTTGAGAGTAGAATCCATTCCTTGACAAAAAAATTCTATTCAAATCTATAGGTTCTCCTCCAAATGAACAGGTCTGATGAGTATCTAATCTAAGAAACAGATTAATGCCATTCAATTTCAAGATGAATTATTTACAATTTAAAATAAGTCTTAACATTTCATAAAAATGCCATTTTCTTTCATGTTATCTAAACAGGTATTTCAGAATTAGGATGATAGCCGGAATCCACATTTGCACCACTTGACGCATGACAAAATCCCACCATGCTTACAAATATGCATGCTGTCTTGAAACAATTTTTTAAATTGATAAATGTTAAGGAAAGTAAACCAAAATAGTTTGGTTTTAGTAAATCTTTGGGTTTTATGTTAGATCATAATTTGGGATATTTGGGGTTTGCTTTCCTTATGATTTGTTGTACCCATAAATGTTTAGTTTCTTGCTTTGTTTTTAACACATTTTGGTATTTTCTCTGTTGGCACCTGTACATAAATATATGTTTATAAACTATGAATTAAACTAAAGGTAGTCAGTACAAAACAGTTTATTATGGACTATTCCAATATGGAACAGCAAAAAAAACAAGATTTTGCTTACGGTCCTGCACATAAAGTGTGCAGTTAAATAATTTATTTATAGACCATATTATTATGAAACATATGAAGTTGAAGTACTTCATGACTTCATCCTATGCCAAGGTATTATCTGTTCAGATTTGGTTTCAGGACCCTTACAGCAGGTGTGGTTGGTAGTTGCTATGTAGAGTTGTACTGTTTATTAATTTTTTGTTGCAGGACCGTGTGGCAGGTGTGGTTATGCCCTACCAAGGTGTTGTCTGTAATATTTTTTTGCAGGACCCTGTACAGCAAGTGTGGTTGGTAGTTGCTCTGCAGAGGTAGTCTGTTTATTTTTGTTGTAGGACCCTGTGCGGCAGGTGTGGTTGGTAGTGCTATGCCAAGGTATTGTCTGTTTGGTGACACTGTCAATACAGCATCAAGAATGGAATCAAGTGGACTTCGTAAGTAAATTATTCAATATATATTTTATCCTAAATTACCTGCCAGCCATCATAAAGTAACAATCATTGAATTGCATACAAGATGAACCCAAAAATTTTTGACCCTCTAATTTTGAATTTATCAATTATGTGAACTGTGACAGCTTGGGCGCAAAAAGTGGTATACAGTACCTATATTGTGTTCTATATTTGATTTTAAGATCTGTCAACGTCAATGCATGTGTATATAAAAGGGTTTGCATTTGAGTGGACAATCACCTGCTTTTCAATAATTTATACTTTCAGCTTTAAAGATCCATGTGAGCATTAATTGCAAGCAAACGCTAGACAAAATTGGTGGATTTTTGACGGAATACAGAGGCACAATTGACTTAAAGGTTTGTATTATTATTTTGATTAGTTAGATTTGATTGCTTATTGATTTTTCCAAATATAATGCAAGAATTATTTGCATTTGAATGTTTTTCAAAGGATAATGGAGAAAATGAATAGAGAATATTTGTTTTAATTCATTAAATGTAGCATGTTAGTATGTATTGATCTACTTTGAAGGGTAAAGGCCCAATGGAGACGTACTGGCTAAATGGGAAAATCGGAAATGTTAAAAGAGGTGCACGTGTTCCGATTCAAAGCGATTACGTTATGCCAAGATCTGACTCTCCGCCTCTAGGATACAAAGTCCCCCAAATTGAATCACTCACGATGGGCTACAAAATCCCAGATGTAGATATCGACTCAAAGCGACCTGGTTACAAGATACCAGAAGAAGATGAGAAAGTAGATGAATATGGTATTCCCTGTGTTCCAAGCACATTCCCCTATGCTGATGTGGAAGCATTTGAAGGTACTAGCAGTGTGGTACAAGGCAAAATGATCGGAAATGTCATTTCTTCAGAGCCCCAGTTGAAACAGCGTCGTCCACTGACCTCAGTGAATGATGCAGGAGTTTCCATGCCATCTACTAGCTCAATGAAGGTGTCAGAAAATGTTGGAAGCGGGTACAAAAGTGAAGGAATTTTCAGTAGATCCACTAACATATACGATCAAGCATCTCTTTACTTCTCTAGTTGTGGCACATCTAGAGTTCAGCATTTCCAACAAGAGGAGATGATCACACCCCAAGAAGAATTATTTGAGGGATATGATGGAAAGACAATTGTATTGTAGGTTTATTCTAGATGCAATCCAAAGCTTATTCTAAGTGCAATCTAAGGCTTATTAGAGTTATAATCATTGGCTTATTCTAAGTTCAATTCTAAGACTTATTTTATGTGTTATCTTAGGCTTATTTTATGTGTTATCTTTGGCATATTTTACAGTGTTCCTAACAATTGCATTCATTCAGCCAATTTCTATCTAATTTTGTCTTCTAGTTATCAGTCAAACTAGGTTCTATATCATTTGGCATACAGAATTACTTAAATGAATGAACATTGACATTATATAGTATGAATATGGTACAGTTATATATTAATTGTTGTTTTTATTTAATAAATATAATTAATGTAGCAGTGGCACAAACAAAGGTTTGTTATCGTGGAAATTTGATTTATTTTTTGCATTATAATAAATTAACAAAGTTCAAATTTAGAATATTAGTATTTTTAATGGTGCACTCATGTTAAATACACTATTTCATTAAAAATTTGCTAACAAATCAAGAATTCAGAATTCATTTATATTCAAGATCTTATTACATGCATGTGCTTTATTATATTATGCCATGAGTTCTTTATTAATATAATAGTGAAATAATTACGCTGCAATTAGATGTCAGTTTGCTTTAGGTACGTGTTTAATAGATATCATATCACTGAAATGATTATTTGATTTGATATGAAAACTGTATTGATTCTGGGAGTTATACATACATTGTATATATGTAGAAACAATATAGTTACATGTCATTTTAGAACTCTTATTCAATATCATAAAGTCACATAATTTTATTTTTGCAACAGCCAAGCTGTCTCTGCTATGACGTGTGAACATACCTGTATTTATTATCACCTTATGAATTTATAAATCATACACTTTGTAATAGATGGCACTGGGATATGTAAATATACATGTTGTAGATTTAGCTATATGTTCTGGAACTAGATTAGTTAAAAAATAAAGTAACTACATCTTACACAGAAAGGAATCTTTGTCATCATCTCTATTTTTATTTACAGTGTGTATATAGAATACTGCCTGATAATTGAAATCATAATAGCTTAAATGGACTTCGTCTTTAAAATACTCCTTTTTAAAAATTTAACAGTCTGGATTTTGCATCAACAAACTTTGATATCAAACTTCTTTCCTGAAAATACCAAGACTTCATAATATTATTATAGTAAACAGCCTGACATTTGTAAAAGCTTTTGAGGGATTCATGCAATAATTTCTGAAAGACAAATTTATTCACTTTCTTAATGAGCAATTTTTGAAGCTTTAATATTGACAGAAAATAAGGTTTGTCTCTTGATGATATAAGTTACATGTTATTCTAATTCTTCATTATTTGGAGCATTTTAAGATACAAAATAAGCTTGGTAACATGGCCATTTGTGTTTTCAATTTGATGAGTCGATCACCAATATTGCCCTAAAAGTCTTTGTCTATGATTTCCTGATTCCAGGAAATCAATAAGAAGTTGTGTAACAGTATACACTAGAGGGTCCTGCAAAAGGCAAACACTGGAGAAGTTTTTAAATTAACATTCCATATTAGTCATTTCAACGTTTAAGCAACAACGGAATTAATCAAAGATATCAGGGGAAATTACCACAAACGCTTTCATGTTGTCTCACTTATACTCAGAAGGATTTTCAGTTGACATGAAATGATTACAATTAAATATCCACTCATCCTTCATAATAGCAGGTAATATAGAAAGATATTTTGTAATCTTAGATGCCAGTATTGGGAGAACAAGAAATCAGCAACTCCACGAAGTAGCAAATCCCAATGAACACTATATAAATCATAAATCTGTACAGTCAAAATGTAATATTTATATTTACCATCTACTCTTCCCTTTAATAAATACTTGAGGACATTGTAGTATCATAAGCATACTTAAAAGATATCTCTAAGTAATGGCCAATTCCTGCTCTAAGCAGCCATTTTGGATTTTTTAAGGCGCAAATCAGAAAAACAATGCCACAATTGTGATCTACTCTAAAATTCCTTCAATTTGAGTATAATATAGCCATACTTCTAAGAGATTAGAAAATTATTGCGAAATCCCACATAAGATGGCCATTTTGAATTTTACATAAGAAATTGAATTGCTGAAAATCATACCAATTTTTTAGCCACGCAGAATCAGCTCAAATTATTCAATTAATAATGCCAATATGCAAAACAAGAAACAAAATGGGAAACTGAAGAAGCCCTATCATATGTTATAATATCTACAGTATAACCAGATTGTGATCAAGCATTCAACACCTTTAAGAACATTAAACGGATGGTTATTTTTGATAAGATTGATACCTGTTCTGTTGTACCTTTAAAACCTGTTCAACAAACTACTGTTTAATTGCCTCAATAGCAATATAAAAGTAGACATCCTACGTCATATCATAAGACTACATCTAGGTCTAAAACAAGAGGTCTGTTATTTCAAAGCAACTAACAGGTGAATGAAGGGGAATGTCTAACTTCACTGAAATTATTGTTCAACCAACTGCATATCCTAAGTTTGCCGGTTGTATAATAGGCCTTCGAAAGTCAGGCCTTGATATTATTTTGTCGTATTTCTTCAATAAATTCCTAAAATGGTTCAGCCAATTTCAAAATTTACGACAAAAATTTTATATAAAATTTGATCTCCCTTATGGATTGTAAGATCTCCCCCAACCTCATGTTGAAAGGTATGAGAAGTGAGTTGGCATTTTATGAATACTAATCATCCATAATAAAAACATGAGCCATTTATACTAATAATATTTCTCAGCTACTTAAGTTTAGAAGACTTATTATAAACCCCAGTAAGTTCTCTTAATAGACAAAGCAAACATAATGGTTACATAAGTGTAACACTATGTTACAGATGATGACACCTAAACTATAAATGCTAAATGTCAGTCATATAAAAGATTTAACAATATATCATCACTTCTTCCATTTTGCCAAATTCAAACAGCTCACTCTCATCCAGACTCTGAATTTATGACACGACCCCTTGCCTTAAATTGACAGAAACAAACAACCACCAAAGCAATCACGTCATATTAGTAACGCAATATTTCGAACTTTCAGTAAATTATTTCTCATTCATAATTAAGCCAACTTACCTCATAGGTGAGGGATGTAAAATGTGAAATGAAATCTCAGAGTTATTTATGGATGAATAACAAAAATAACAAAAATAATTGGAGTGATAAGATAGAAAACAACCTTGCAACAGAATGTTGTTATTTAATACCGATTCTTTGCTTTTCTCAAGTATAAGGCTTATAGCAATGATGTACACATGCCGACAAGTTGTATTTTTTATTTCGATGTCATAAATTGTTGTTGTTTGTCATGATTCGCCTGAAGATATATACAATTATATATAATTTTGTACACAATAATTCTTTTGTTTATTGCAAATCCATTGTCATACTTTCTTTTTTAAATCTTGTTATTATTCAATTATGGCTTATAATGCTCCATTGTAAAGCCGCAACATGTGTATGTAATAATTCTATTTTACCATGAAATAAATCACATATAAAAAAAAGATAAAAAAGATATATACAGGGGATAAATGTTGAAAATCATAGACAGGAACCGTCAAAAACATCTTCTTTCAGTTTTTCAAAAAGCATATAATATATACAGTGTATAGGCTACTACAATGATTGATTAGAATGTTAGTCACCCTGGGGTGTATTATGGGAGAAATTAGAATTTTGAAATGAAATTAACAAGAGAAGTGACCAGCCCCTTTTGATAAAATTGTTATGCTAAGTAAAACCTGCCCAATTTTATGTCACTTCGATCAGGCAAAAGTGCTAAGATTGGCAGGTGTTCACACATCAAGGTTTTTGAACATATGGCAGTCTCTAGCAGATTGAAAAAGTGTTCACATAAAGTGGTGTTCAGACTAAAGAGAGGTATGGTGTTCGGATATATACATGATACTCCACCATCATATTTTGCAAAAGATCCAAATAATTAGCGAACAATTCAACTTAGCCTCGTCAAGCCTATTATGGGAACATTGTTCCTTACTAATATCTGTTTCTGTCATTGGAGATATTTACGATGACATTAATAGGTGCTCGTAATCACCAAAAGAAGCCATTTTTTCTGAATTAATAGGGAATTGTAGTACAAATGTTTACTCGAAGATATACTTCACCCTCATAATAAAAAGCTGACTTTATTATTGAAAAATAGCTAGTGTCTCATATAAGTTGTTGAATCGAATCTCTGTTATTCAGAGGCAAAAAAGGCATGAGGAAAGCAAGACATGAGGCAAGCAGAACATGAGGCATTGAGGCTTATTGCCTCACTAAAAATTTACCAAAATATAATTTATTCAGATGTTTTTCAACTGAAACTGTAACAGTAGAATTTATATCTGTAGCTTTTGCCTCATATGATTTTTTAGATCTTCACTATGCTTTTGATAAAGCATATTTCATAAATCTGTTATTATATGATATTGGTTTTTCATTCTCTTGTCCCTCTGGAGCTCTGGTCTTGTATAATCTTGCAATACTTCCTGTCAAAAATTATCTTGAAAATCAAATATAAAAATATACATGTATATACTGTAAGGGGCAATTGGCTGGTGTTTTCCATTAAATGCTTTAGATTCCATTTAATGTGTATTTCTACTTTCCCTAAAGCAAAATTCTCTCCAAATTCATAAAACAGAACTTGGACATACATGTATGTTGCAGATCCAAACTGCATATATGTTAAACATGAGATAATTACAATTAATAAACTTGACTGCAAGTAAGCATCACCTTAGTACTAGGCTTACCCTAAATAATCAGGAAGCTTCAAGAAATAGAACGCAGATTGAGAAGACAGTTACTTGTTATATTATGTGCTGAAAACAGACAGGGCAACCTTGAAATATCAATAACTACCTATGTTACTGTTTATAATCAGCTGTTCATAACACATAACTTATTTATATTACGTTTTTGGTAAACATAGACCACCAAACATCTTCACTGCTTCAAATGCTTGAACAAGCAGCATAGCTTCAAAGCTTCATCTCAAATGTAAGACATTTCTGCCTATCAGTTCTGTTAAACAGTGAATCTCACATAAGGACCATGAACGTTACATTTGAGCTCATGAAGATCTTTGTTCTAGCCTATATCTCATCAAAATATGTGACCAATAACTATAATGCTACATTTTCTACCTATAAGTAGCAGAAATTCATTCAACATTCAATTTCACAAATTACATTTGAGCTGATGAAGATCTTTGTTCTCCCCTATATCTCATCAAAATATGTGATCAATAACAATAATGCTACATTTTCTACCTATAAGTAGCAGACATTCATTCAACATTCAATCTCACAAATTACATTTGCGATCTTTGAGATCTTATCAGCACCAAAACTGTTTCACTCT